CCCATGGGAAGTCACAGTGAGAAATCATTAACTGTATCCTATTAAAATCCTTAAACAAGAGACCTGAACTAGTCTCATTGATTGAAATATCTTCTCTGTTTCTAATTCAGTGTTTATCCTCATGCTCTCTTGGGGCACTTCTGAGCAAGAGATGCCCAAATGTGTGCGCTGCTCTGCAGCTCTCTATCAGAGACTGATCTAATGCTATCAGCTAATTGTATTGAGGACCACAGCTTAGAGTATTTTGGAGTTGATTTGGTTTTTTAAAATCCCACTTATTTAATTAAACAAGGGAGTAAGATTTTCTGGCTTATTCCCAGGTCTTTGAGACAGTAAGACATCACCAGCATTGACAGAATTTATCCTTTAGGAAGCTAACTTCCTGGATAAACTGAATAGTATCAAAACCAAAGATCCCTCTTGGTGTAGTAAAGTCACAGCATATTAACAATATTTTTAGGAAGGATCATATACAATATGTAGAAGTGAGAGAATATTTATATTTAATATATGTCTGTTTCACATCTATGTGAAAATGCCTTCTGTGCTCCTGGTTCACAGCGTGTTCCATATACATTCCTCTGCCATGCCCTTCCCCACCCTGTCCCTTTGTATTGAATCAGGAACATATTTGTGCTCTATGTTAATTCATAAGTGTTTCTCTTGTCAGAGTCTTGATAGGATTGTTACTGCTCCCCGGTGGCATTTCATTCCAAGTGCAGTGAAATCTCTTGTACTTGTCACTTGGATTAGAATGGAAATTTTACATGGGCAGAGGGTGGAGAGATGATGGTTACAGAGGGAAAGTCTTTACAAGGAACTTTCATTTAAATTAAATTTTAAAGTGAAACAAGCTTTTCTTTTTTAAGGCATTGATTTTCTAAAGATAAATTAACCATCGACAGTAGAAGCTATATTATTTTTGGTGTGCTGGAAAGTATTAAATATCCTGAGTGATGTCAGATACTGAAAACCCAACCTAAGAGCAAGATTTTACTTACTCAGACCGTCCTGGCAAAATCCTGAATTTACTGTGTACAAGCCCATGAGGTCATCCCCTCACCTGTCACTCCATCAATACAAAGGAAAGATGCAAGGAATACTGTGGGGCAGGGGACTCTAGCCCCTTAAAAGAGTCCTCCCTGCAATTACCTTACCTGCCAGCTTTCCAGCAAGATAAATGGAAGCACTGTAGCTTGAAGGTGCCTTGGTTAGAATGAGATGCAGTAAGGTCTCTCTGTTCTTTACAGGCATCATAGATCTGATAGTACTTATAAAAGAAGAATAGAGTTGGTGCCCTGCTGACTAAATTGTCCTCTAGAGGAGTATTAGTTACAGAGCTTCTTTGTTAAGTAGGCTGAATGTTTAAACCACTGTTGAACTTCTTTTATTAACATGTTTTAAGATAGCTATACATATGGATACCCTAAGTGTCTGCAGGGCGGGAATATTTCTCTAATTTACATATAAAAGTTATGTGTATGTATAATAGTAATATAGAAATTATATCTTTTTATTACTCTTCTGTTACACTGAGTCTAGTCAGCGCTGAAATTCTGATGACATGTGAACACTAAGAAAGCCACCGTTTTTATATTTTTCTCTTGGTATTTCCTTGATCAGCTTGTTGAATAACAGAAATGTTTTTCATGCTTTTGCAGCTTGAATGAAGCCTTCTTAACACCCATCCGTGTCACTTGTTCAACCATAACTTGGAATTTTAAGGGAGGACAGGGATGGAATTTATAGGTCGTGTGGAGAATTTTACAAATTTCCAAGTAACAATTTGTTTTTGTGTTTTTGTTTTTTTATAAAGAAAGATTTGCATGAGATTATTTAATTTCAAATAATGGCATTTAAAAAAATCTATGTCAAGCCTTTTCTGTCTAATCCCATATGCAGTATAATAAAAGATAATGGTTTTATATCTAGTTATCTACCTTTTTTTTTCTCTCTCTAAAGAAGCATCAGATCCTACTCCCACCCTCCAGCTGATTGTTGTCTGATTAACCCTTGGTTTATTAGTGACACACATTTGTTAGGTATTAACGTGTCTACACAGGGAGCCCGCCAGCCATCCTCACTGGGGGCTCCGTGGGTTATTCTGACACCTTCAGAGTGCAGCGCTCTCTGGCTTCCGTTCAGAATTTTCCAGGTGGATGCAGATGTGCAGCCAGATCATATTTGGTGAAACTACAACAATTCCTGACACACAGTGTGTCATCCTGCAGTTCCACTGAGGCCTGTCTCTCTCTGATTTACCCCCAACGAAGAGGAAAAGGCAGAAGAGGTCATACCAGAAATACTGCTGCTCCCGGAATCAGGGATTGGCACGCTTTTTCTGAAAGGGCCCGAGAGTAAATATTTTAGGCTTTGGGGGCCCCGGGGTCCCCATCAGAGCCTCTGTTGCAGCCCCAAAGCAGCTGTGGACACTATCTAAAGGAACGGTGGGGATAGTGTTCCAGTAAAACGTTGCAGACAGTGAAATTTGAATTGCAAGTATTTTTTCATAGATCACAAAATATTACTCTTGATTTTTTTTTCCAGTCATTTAAAAATGTTTGGTTTGTGGGCAGAGCAAAAATCGGTAGGGTCCAGTGAGACCCCAGCCAGAGCTTGCAGGGGTGTGAAGAGCCCGCTGGGTGGGCCTTTACACTCCCGTAGGTTGCTTACATTAGGTTAGGGAGGGAGTGCCTCTGGATTTGGGACGTAGAGAATTATCCAGGGCCCAGCTCATCTCCCATACTCCTGCACCCATCCCTGCTCTGGGGCCTTGCAGAGCTTGTGGGAATCCGTAGTCATCCTGGGGAGGGAGGTTGGGACATGTGGAACTTGCCACAGTTTCTCTTTCAGACCACCCATGTGCGTGCACTCTGCCAGCTTTTGTTTCTAGAAACTCAGATAATCCCCTTGATTTCTGAAGTGTGAATATTTTCTACATTGTACGTAGCATGTCACTTGCTCAGTAACCTTCCTCCCTCCGCTTCTGACCCTGCTTCGCAAAGTTGTATTCAGTTTCAAAAGTCTGAATCTAACTCTTGTTGAACTGAGTAATGAAGTCACAATACAATGTTTGACCAGCTGACTGTGTGCAAAATCATGCAACTTTGTGTGCCCTACATAGACATGTTTGTATAGTTTTTTTCTCTGAAGTCTGAAAAACGTGATCCCATTTGCCTCATTTCATTGTGGAAATTTAATGATACTTTCTCTAGCGGTGATATGTTCAATCTGTGCTGTTACCATTATGTTTGTTATTCATAAGCACAGTTACGGGACATTGAAGATTACTCTCTACTTAGAGGTTATTCTTCTTAGCATAAGAAATTTTTGTTTTTCTGTAACATTCATTTTTCTGAGGTCTTCATAGCTATTTAGAATGTATTTTTAAATCATTGGCAATTTTGCTGTTAAAAAAAGGGAGAAGTTAATTATATGAGACAGCAGATGGTTAACAGATAAACTTTTCAGGAGACTGGGATCCTAATCCTGAGTTTGCCTTGTGACATTAGGGGGGACCCTGAAGAGCTGTAACCAGCTGTACTTTACCTGGTCCCTTTTATATCTCCTGGTCTAGATTCATTCTTTAGATCCTAAGCATCTACCTCCACCAGTTTCAAAGTCCTAGTTTTAGAAGTCCCAGGAGTAAGCAATGAGGTAAAATTAAACATTAATAAAGTTGAATGAGTAGAGGGTATAAATTAGAATTGCATATGCTTTGTGGACGATAACATAACCCAGCATTTCTGATCCCATTCTGCAGCATTTAGTCCTAGATCATCAGGACAAATAACTTTATACTGTAAGTCAGCCTTTAGAACCCTGCCAGCACTTGCTCTGGGCCCCCCATGGCTCTGCAGACTTCTAGTGACTTGGGAGTGCAGTCACTGTGCAGGCTGGTGCTCCTGATGGTGACCTGCTCTGGGCCCTGGTGTTACAGCAGTGAGGAAGGCCAGGCTCAAATCTCTCCTTTTTTCATTCTGACAAGGGTGTGGAAGTCTTTGTTCTCCTTTCTCCTCTCTCCTTCCATCATCTCCTTTAGTAAATGGTTCTGTCCTGAGTGGTGTAACCTTCAACAGTAACTGACTAGCTGGGCCTCAGTTTCTGTGTCTGTCAAATGGTGATTTCATTAACTGCCTTACAGAGTGTTAGGAACAAATTAGTTGGCATTAAAAATTGTTTAGCTTTAAAAGTGTTATTAAAAAGTAAGGGATGACATTAGGATATTATTTCTGTCAACATAACCTCAAAGGGATTTATTTGCACAATGTCATACAAAAAAGTACATATCACTATTTCATTATAATGACACAATTATTTAGAATGTAAGAATTTCTCACCACAAGGTTAAAATTTTGCTGTTCTTTGGGGTGCCTGGGTGGCTCAGTCAGTTGAGCGTCCAACTCTTGGTTTCGTCTCAGGGTCATGGGATCAGCCCTATGTAGGGCTCCACACAGCACAGAGTCTGCTTGAGATTCTCTCTCTGCCTGTCCCACACCCCCTGCTTGCACATGGACACACCCTCTCAAATAAGTTAATAAAAATTTGCTGTTCCATTAGAATATTAGAGTTTGAAATTCAAACAGTCCTTTCAATGTTGACTCTGGATAGAAGGATCCAGAACAGTAGTTTTCAGTGTGTTGAAGCCACCATTCCATTCAGATGGTAAGTCACCACCTCAAGTGCTGTTTCCTGGGACTCAAAAGTAAGTGTGTTGGACTAGGTGCTGACAGCTTAGAGGAAAGCAGCTGGATGGCTTTAGGAAAGAAAGGTACGACTTTATTTACCTTAGGGCCAGAACAGCTCTTAGGGTGCAACTCACAAGAGACCTCCTGAAAGTCCTCTAATAACAAGTGGCCATGCTCTGAGTTTTGGGTATTATCTAGAAAAAACTGTCTCTGAAAGGAACATTGAAAGGAACTATTTTTAAATAGTTTTTTGGTCAGGAATGGGTCTAGGTATGTTACTCTATAAATATATGGTGTTCCTTTCTTTCTCAGGACCTGTCTGGCTCCATCGATGACCTCCCCACGGGAACGGAGGCCACCCTGAGCTCAGCAGTCAGTGCATCGGGGTCCACGAGCAGCCAAGGGGATCAAAGCAACCCGGCTCAATCACCTTTCTCTCCACACGCATCCCCCCATCTCTCCAGCATCCCTGGGGGCCCATCGCCTTCTCCTGTTGGCTCTCCTGTGGGAAGTAACCAGTCACGATCTGGCCCGATTTCTCCTGCAAGTATTCCAGGTATTCATTTCTTTAATGATTATTATTTTACTCTGTAGTGAAGACAGACCTAGTGTTCATCAATAGTGACATACATTCCACTGCTTTTTTACTATTGAAAACTTGATGATAGGACCACGTACTAGAAGCTTAACTTTGTGAATTGTCACCAAAGCGTTTGAGAGTTCCAGTTCCTAAAGATAATCAACAATGAATATAAACAATTTCTCTGATATTTTTGGTTTGGACATTTACCTTATGCTAGAAAATTATTCTCAGCATATTTTGTTGTAATGACTCTGTTCAATAAGATGCTCTGTTGGTAAGTGCCACTGAGGTGAGATTGTGCACAAGGATTGGCTGTAGATCGTATGGTTCTATTTAATTTATGCCATAGCAGTTATTTTGTAACCCGTGTTTCGTGTTTATGCTCACCTGTATTTTACTTGGGCCCACACAAATCCAAGTCCTTGTTACTGATAGAAATGTACCTTCTAATTTTGATATGAGGAGTTCATGTTCCAGTTAACTCCCATTCAGTATTTCAGTGATCATACAACTTCTGTCTGTATCTTCAGCTTCCCTTATTATGTACGTAGGGTTATTTGTCTGTTTGTCCGTCGCGTCCAGCTTTCTTATGTCATCATCACCCATTTCTTTTATCAGCAAACTAAATGTAATTTTTTCCCTCGTAACTTTTGCTAACATGATTTAGGTGCCTGTCAGAAAGTACCTCTTACTAACCTATTAGAACTAATATTAAAGATAACTTTTCTGATAGTTTACTCTGTTGTCTTGAAGCATGGATGGTAGATTTACCCCTTATTCACATTTTATTTCTTTTATATTTAAAAAATGTTTATTATGGGATGTTTTATACATAAGCATAAGAACATGCTAATCGTGAGACATAACCATCAAAGAATACTCATTAACCCACTCTCCAGCTTAAGAATTGGAGTATCACCAGTGTTGTTGGTCCACCTTTGTGTTCCTCCCTTATCTTCAGGCTTCTTCCTCTCCTCTGCCTCAAATATTGTTTGAATATGTTTTTAGTGTTTCTTTTTGGAGTTTTTTTGAAGAATTTTATTACAGAAATTCATAGGGTATATATCATTAGTTTTGTTTAGTTTTGAGATTTATATAAACGTACTTGTAGAAACATATTTAGCATGACTATATAATTTATCAACCAAGCTGAGACATGGGGGGCATGGAAAGGTCACTATTAATAATTACAGGACAACAAGCATAAACTAGGAAGGTTCTTGGCAAAACAGAAGATGTGGTTACCCCATTTGTACTGCAAATGGTCTCCTAGAGTTTGCTTTTTTGACTAAATGTTCTGTTTCTAAGATTCATCCATATTTTAGATACAGCTACAATTTAGCACATTTGGATTAAGGCATTTTGATGTTAACCTTTTTTTCAAAAATATGTTTATACTCAAGAGATTGTAGTAAACCTGGATTTATCTGCTTTTAACATTTTTAAAGCTATATTTCAGAATTCCTTAGGCAGTTTTTGATATTGAGATGGTTTTTGAAGCATCACCTGCCTAAACATTGGAAAGTCATATATAAACTACTGTATTTGTCAAGCAAGGACGCACTGCTTTCTAATTTGGATCAAAAGGACTTTTCTTAATAACTTCAATGAAAACTCTTCTGAGGTCTAAAGATACTTCAGTTTATCATTTAAAATTCCTGACACAGGTAGTTCACAATCTGATGATTTTCAGACATACGTGTATCATTCCATTGGGCATTTTGAAACTTCTTCCTCACTGTTTGGATTTTGATGCAGTGTGGAACACGTAACCCAACAAAAGAGCTCACTTTGGACACATGATAGCACAGACTATGGAGGAGGTAGCTCAGCAGGTGGAACTGCCTGCAGAGTCTGGTGCTTCGTTGTGTTATGTGCAGGGTTAAGTTGGTCAGCAGATGACGCCCCTGTTGACCTATTAACTCCATCTCAAGCGGGGCCTGTTCTTTACAGTTGCTGCAGGTGGGGACCAAACTGTGATTCTCTCTGCCAGCTTCTTAGGAAAGTAAGTTTTTAGAAAGCCTTCAGGTTTCTTGGAAATGTTTTTTAAAGCCTACAATTTGTTTTTAAACTTGGGTCAGAGATGCTAACCGCCCATGGCCTACATTTTCATGTCACCAGACAGTTCTAGGTCAGCTCCTCTGCATCTACGTGGTCCAGAGGAGAGATGACACAGCAAAAGTTCCACTTCTTGGGGGAGGAATGTTCTTCAAGTAGATTCATAACCAGGTGTGCTGAACGAGAAGCCGTAGAGTGATGGAGTTGTATACAGTGTGGCAAATGGAACGTTCCTTTGATGTGTGTGTTATTTATTGTAAGGGGAATAACCTCGTGGGAGATCTGATCCACAGCTTCACCACTTGGTCACTCTTCTCCTGGGTGGAATCACAATAACATATCGGCAAGGATGGACTTTCATAATCCTCTGACCTCACCCCTCATTTTACTGCCACTTCTTAGCTGTGTTACGGTGGAAAAGCTTCGAAGCCTCTCTGCACCTCAGTTTATGCAGTTGCAAAGATAATAACCATATCTCTCAGGATTCCTGTTAAATTTAAATGTGCTGATGCACATAAAGCAGGCACATGGTAAGCACTCTGCGTGTTAACTGTTGTGGTGGTTCTGGTTGTTGTTACTGGAGTCTTAGAGGCTTGCCCACATGGTGACTCTGGAGCAGCACAGTTGGTTTGGGTGGCAAGTCTTCTGATTCGTAACCCGGTGGAGCTCTTGTACACTTCAGAAGACATGCATATGAAGTTTCCAGTGATGATTTGCTGTTTACTAAGTTTACTCCGTAGGACTGCTTTGTGCCAGCCATGAAAGCATAATGCATTTTCACGAAGTTGAATCCATTTTTCTTCTAACTTGAAAAAAAAAGATAGGTTAGTGATTGATCTTCTAGGGGATTAGGTCAGAGAAGGCCCAGGGGAGACCAGAAAATTGGGGTAGGGGCACAAGAATCTATACCCTTGCTTTATTTAGGTCATAGATTTGACTCTTGTGGGATGTGATAAGCAGGCAGTCTAACATAAAATTTAACGATAGATGCATTTAAAATCCGGGATTATTTCTCACACTTTTGTATGTACCCAGACAGTATCAACTTAACTGATCAGTATCACCCTCTCATTGGCCTTAGCCATTGCTACTAAGGACAAGAACACAGACTGGAAGGGTAAATAGCAATGAAATTTGGGATGCTCTCCTGTGGGAAGTGGGGGGCGCCCTTTTTTAATTCATACAGAAGAGCCACACATCTATATACATGCTTGCCCTGGACCACCTTAGTGGTCAGCTTCCATGGCTTGTGTCCAGATACTACATGTTTCTCCTCTTCTGTTCCCCAAGCTAAGCCCAGGAACGTTCACACATCAGCTTATAATAGATGCTCATCATAAATCTTATATGTTGTAATCTGAAAGGGATTTGTTAAAAATCATGTGGGTTTTTGTTGAAAAAAAATTTGGTCTTCTCTTTCCCTCCACCTAGCCTATATGCTCTTTGTTTTCTTTACTTTTTTAATGTATTTATGTGAACTTGGTCATAGATAATAAAACCACATTTTAGAGATGCCCATAAAGTTGATTGTTCTTTTTTTTTAATTTAACCAAATGCAAAGGCACCTTCCCTTAGAGAATAGTTAGGCCCATTTAGTAGTCTCACTTTCTCCTATCCCATCCATAGTCCTCATGTTTAGGTTTTGCAAATCCATACTTTATAGATCCTAAGCTAATGTGCAGTCTACTGCCATTTGCCTCTGAGTGTACCCTGGTGAAGTACACACATCAGGTGGCGATTGCCTGGTGTCCCACCCAGGGCAGGATACTCAGACCACTGCATTGGGAGCACATGTTTGGAAATCCCACCCACCTTTTCTTTTGTCCATAGTCTTGTGCTTTCCTTTCTCCCCTTCCTTCCCCTCCTTCCCAGCACTAACTTGTTCTTTTAACCTCACTTCTCTCCCATTACCTCCTGCTCTAGCTTGCTACTGCCTCTCCGAGTGTCACAGACTGACTCTTTCAATCATTGTCTCTCCAGCAAGTCATTGTGGAAATGCACAGCTGCTGTGTAGCTGTTAGTCTCGATGAGGTGAAGCCAAAATGTTGTGGGGGCTTCTTTCTAGCGTTGCCTCCCAGGGTTTGTTTAAAAAAAAAAAAAAAAAAAAAAAAAAAAGAGCAATCATTTCTCTATCTCTGTCCTGGTAAATGAAATTGACAGCTAATGAGAACTATCACAGAGGTGGATAAACAAAAGCCCAGTAAAGCATCCCGAATGGCTGAAGCTGTTTCTTGCCTGTTAAAGCATTTCTCCACCCACTGCAAATTTGCCCTCCTATCATGCTGCCTCACAAACATTGTGAGCGTCATGGGAACAACTACTGTGATGCACGCTGGCACTGCATCGGCCCTGGCACAGCCCTAACTCAGTAGGGCTTTTCCTTCCTGCGTTCTTTTGAAAAGCAGGATGGAGGTTTTCTATGGTGAGTAGCCACATGGATTCTCCCTTTGTTTGCACATTGCTGGGCTCCGGCACTGCAGCAATCTATAGTTAGAAGTTCAAGAATTTCAGCCCTGGTCGTTTAATGTAAACAAGCGTTGGAGACCAAAATGTGTATGTTATACATTCCCCCAGTGCCATGATGAATTTTCTTGTTTTTACTTTTTGTTTTCATTTCTCTCTCCTTTCTATATTGGTGTATTTATCCTTAGAGACAGAAATGAAATATCTTCATCTTTCTAATTGGGAGTGTGTGTGTATATACACATTTAAATCAGGCAAATCTAATGTCGGGTGCAATTGATTTGAAAGGTCTGATGTTAGACATGTGGTTTCCCTCCTAATAAATGATCCTGTTGTACTTTTACTGCTTACTGGCTTACATCCTAGAGTTATTTACCTTGGTTTTAGGAAAATAAACTGTTGGGTCTTGAATGTATTGTATAGGTCTTACGCTGGGCCTAATTCGTCCTAAC